GAAGAAATGGAAAAAACCTGAATGGGCCAATTGCAGGCAAGGAAATTTAAATAGTAATCAAAAGTTTCCCCCCCAAAACACAACTGTCCTGAACCAGACCCTCAGGACAAACTAATACCTATCTTCAAACTCTTCCAAAAAGCTGAAAAAGAGGAAATAGTTTGGAACATATTCTATGAGGCCAACCAAAACCAAACAAAGACACCACACACACCCACAACTTACAGAACCATTTCCCTGGTGAATATAGATGCAAAAATTCTCAACAAAATCTTAGCAAACTGAATTCAACAATGCATTAGAAAGATTATACACCATAATCAAGTGGGACTTATGTCCCAGTTGGTGTTCTTAGCACTTGACATACAATACCAAGCATTTTAGCATAGGCATTAATTCCAATTTTCTTACCATTTGACCTTTTGGATTTTAATAGAAAGAGAACTGCATGTGAATTCAAAATATTTGGGCTCAACTTTTTTTTTTAATTTTTTAATTTTTTTCTAAGATTTATTTTATTTATTTATACAAGCACTGGGTACAGTCAGAAGCACAGGAGGGTGAGAGAATTCACCAGAGTCAGAGGGGAGAGCAGAGCAGGCAGACTGACAAAGTACACTGCTGAGGGGAGCAGCGGGCGGCAGGGGAGGTCTGCACACCATGTGGGACCCTCACCTGGTGTCAGGGGATCAAACCGGTGCTGCAGAGGCTGATGGCAGCTTCGCAACCCAGTGCTCAATGCTATGCCACTGGGGAGGCCCTGGGCTCAACTTCTGACTACACTATTTGCTGGCTTTGTGATTTTTAGCAATTCACTTAACTTCCTGGTACAACTGTGGGAACAAATAAGTTAGTTCCCCCAAAATTTGAATTTGAGGAACAAAGCAAACACATCCATGAATCACACTTAAAGTTTATTCAGGCCAACATGCATATAACATAACCCATGGACTGGATTTTAGTTTGACGCAGGACCCCCCCACTCCCTAAAATCCTCACCTCCCCTTTTCCCAACAGAGATCTTCTTATACCCTGCTTAGCACGTGATCTTTCTTGTGTGAGCTAATGACCCCAGGTGTCCAGGGAACATGTCATGTACATGTTTATTTTAGCAAGATAAATAGAGTTGTGTATAGATCAGAATAGAGATTAACACATGTGAAACAATGGGGAAGTTGGCTCTCTCCCCAGGATAGGGCAGTTATGAGTCACAGGTGTAAGATGGCATCAGTTCAAGTGGAATCATTTTGGTTTTCCTACACTCCCTTACTCTTATTTCATTAAATAGGAATATTATTTTAAAACTGTCTTTCCAGTGCAAATGGCCAACAGGCATATGAAAAATGTTCAACATCACTTGTAATCAGGGAAATGCAAATCAAAACTACAATGAGATACCATCTTACACCAGTGAGAACGGCACATATTTAAAAAACTAGCAACAATAAATGTTGGCGAGAGAGGATGTGGAGAAAAAGAAACTCCTACACTGCGGGTGGGAGTGAAAACTGGTCCAACCACTATGGAAAGCTGTGTGGAGATTCCTCAACCTACTAAAGATAGAGCTTCCATATGATCCAGCAATTCCACTCCTAGGTATTTACCCAAAGGACACAGAAACATTAATTCCAAAGAGCACCTGCACCCCTATGTTTACAGCAGCACAATTTACAATAGCTAAGCTTTGGAAACAACCCAAATGTCCAAAAAAGAGATGACTGGATCAAGAAGATGTGGTACATATACACAATGGAATATTACTCAGTAATCAAAAAAGATAAACTCATGCAATTTGCAGCAACATGGATGGAGCTGGAAGGGATCATGCTCAGTGAAATAAGCCAGAAAGAAAAAGAAAAATACTGTATGGTCTCACTCAAGGCAGGAATTTAGAAAACCTAAATAAGAGACCAGGAAAAAGACTAATCAATACAAAGGAAAAATCAAAATCAGCAAGCAACTATAAACCAGAGACACACTACGGCGGTGGGTTGGGGGGGGAGCGGGGAAAGCAAGGACTACAGTCAAAATAAGGGGGGAGGTGTAATTATATGGGGAATATAACCAAAATGTATGTATGAAAATACATACATTGTGCAAAAATGAAAAATGATGTAAGAAATATATAAAAAATAAAACTGTCTTTCCAGTCATGGAGAGAATCACTGACTTTTCAGATGTTAAGCACTTAGTACAGCACTTAGTACAGAGAAAAGACTCAATATTCTCTGCATCCATTTAAGTAAATCATGCAGAAGATCGATTTGTCTCACTTCCTATAGCCATTGAGTGTTGCCTAGATGAATGGCTGAGTACAGTCTGACTCAGTATTTCCCTATTTTCTCCTATACTTGAGAGAAACAGGAGACCACCTCCTGATTATTACGTGAGACTCCACACTGCAACCTTCGGTCTGAAAATCCTTGTCAACAAATTATAAAAATACACATGTACTTGTATAAGACCATAAACTCTTTAAAAATACACAAAAATATACAAATCTTTGTATATATTAGCAAGAATTTATGTAGGATGAATTCAGAAAGTAAATCTGCTGGGTCAGAAGTTACATATTTTATTTTTATTTTTTATATATGCTGCCAAATTGCCTTCTCAAAGGGCTGTAATAATTTATAGTGCCACCAACAATCAACATTTATATTACCCAACAACTCTTTAACATTAATCCTTAAAACTGTCATTGGAGGAAATAGAAATTAATGGCCATAAGGTAACTTCTAGATAACTTATAAATTTTGACTGAATATTTTCCTTCTAGTCCCTACAAACAGAAATAGCTGGCATCTGAATACTTTTACTTTTAGTCTCTATGTTTTATATGTATTAAGTTCGGGGTTTTGGGATATGTATTAAGTTGTTAAGGTAATTTTCCAACTAACTAAAGAAAATAATTTTAATTTTTATACAAATTTTAATATTTCAGATCCATATTAGAAAGAGTAGGATAGATTTGGTTTTAATGATCTGTCATTCATGTAGTAGCACTCAAAAAATCCAGAAGATGGCAGTATAGTAATGATTTTCCTAAAATTTACAGAGAAAAAAAATATGTGGATTTCTCCCATTTTTCTTTTCTCATTTCCTAAAATGATGTAAGATCGGGAGATGTAAGGCAATAAGGAAACCTCACACTCACAGAAAAGAGGGAACAATAGGCTGGAAAGTGACTGTCATTTCAAATTTCAGGTTTTTGGGCAAGTCCTTTACTCTCTAAATCTCTCTTTTCTAAGAGGTAAAATTATCCAGCAATGCACAACTCACAAGACCATTTGAAGACTGAGAAAAAACATAAATTGTGCAGCACACTGCAGCACTGAGAATCTAAGGAGTATGCCGTTGATAGTGTATGATGCAACTCTATAGAACTCCTCAAAGACTTCCAATGCAGCTCTCATTTATCAAAACATCCAGTGGAAGCCTATAATGTGAAAGGCTATAGTCCTTTGAAGGGATTTATAAGGATAAAAGAATGTCCTCCCTCAAAAAGTGGGGAAATAATTACCTTTACAAATAACTAACAATGCAAAGTGGCAAAGAGAAAAAGAGGTCTCTCTGGACATGGTGGTTTGAGAAGTTTTCACCTAAAATAAAAGAATGTTATTTATCGGGATGGGGAAGAGGAATTTCAGACATGAGAGTAGTATGTTTGGAAGAACAATTTGACTCGCCTAGAAATTAGTTAAACAAGAGAAATTGGAGTTGCATTGAGGAGAGGCAGCGGTTGGGGCTAATAGTAGGGGGGTAGGTGGTGGAGGGTGAGAGGATTCACCAGACAGAGTGAGGAGCAGAACAGGCAGACTGACTGAAATACACTGCTGAGGGGAGCAGTGGGCGAGACCGGAGAGGTCTGCTGTGCCATGTGGGTCAACTCCCTGGCCAGGGATGGAACTCATGCTGCAGTGGCTGCAGATACCTTCATAGTGCTGACACTTAACCCCTTGTGCCACCAGGGAGACCCAAGAGTCCCCTTATTAAACTGTCCTCAAACTGTCTGCTTTGAATTAGATGTCTATGTACTGCCAAGCCTCAAAGAGACAGAGTCTGTTGGTGACAAGAAGCCAATGATTTCTTTTCTCCAGAAGCCAATCGTAAAGGATTCAGGGAAAGGTTTTTTTAACAACATCAAAACTATTGCCCATTTCAAAAGTTTAAACAACAAAAGAATTTATTTCCAATTGAGAAACCTCAGTTTACATCAAAGATTTTGCAATTATGAACCAGTTATTATGCTTTTTCTCTTGCCAGAAGAGAAAGATAAAATTTCACATGCCTTGTCTTCTATTTCTTTGTTCAACCTTACAATAACTTTTAGAGATTCAATACCTACTAAATGCTCAATTTTGATTGTTTAAATACGCACACAAGTAAAGATACCTATTATATGGAAATGTTCTCAGAAAAAAATTTCCTCCTCAAAAATCAGTTCTCATTCATAATTAAGACTTTTTTGGTGTCTTGACAGCAACATTTTTTTTACCCAGAAGAGACTAAATGAGGTTATTTTAAAACTTAATATTCGATAAAATTTACAAATTTAAAAACCACTGTTCTTAGTTAAATTTACAAGTTATTTATTATTATTTTATTTCTAAATCTAGTGAATTTAACATCTACCTTTAAAACGACCTTTTATTATTATTTGGTGTCATTGAAATAGGTAATTAAACTTCCTTTAAAGATCTTAAATTTAAAATACCCCTTTTATTTAATGCTTCTAACTAACAGAACTTATCCAAATGTTTAAAACAATAATGAATCTGAAAATTTTAAATTGTCAATTCTGTGAATCTCAAGTTCTCTTAAACATTGTAATGCTTTTCACATACTTAACGACCTATCTTAATTTTTTGACTTAAAAAACCACAACTCTAAAATTAAAAATTCAGTTTTACATTTAAGTTGGACTTACAAAGCTAATGTTAGATCTACAAATATCTTAACTGTTGCAAATATTTTTAAAATGAAATATATACAGATGATTCCTAAAGTTGACACAAAATCATTTTATTGCTTTTTATTTCACTATATATGTATGTAAGGGTCATATGAAAGTTTTATCATCCAAGCAAACTGGGGCTTTATTATCCAAGCAAGTTTATTTAAACATCCCAAATAAAAAGGGTTATGTGCACACCCACTGTGCACCTCTGGAGCAGCCTATATCTAGAGCAATTTTTCTTGCAACATTAAGGCACCCTGGGAACTATTTTATGGTTACTTTGCAAATAAAGGTCCCAACACCATTCTTTTCCAAGTAGAATTGTCTCATAAATCCCAGTCCCTGCATTCAGAATATATATTACCTAATACTGAATTCAATTAACATGTACAGCTTGATTCTGTTTTTTTTTTTAAGACTTATTTATGCATACAAGAATCAGAGTACAGGCCAGATGTGCGGGAGGGTGAGAGGATTCACCAGAGACAGAGCGGGGAGCAGAACAGGCAGCTGGACTACAGACACTGCAGAGGTGAACAGCGGGAGAGACAGGAGAGATCTGCTTCGCCATGTGGGTTGCTCGCTGGCTAGCCGGGAATCGAACTCGTGCTGCAGAGCCTACGGATAGCTTCATAGTGCTGTACTTAACCCCTTGCGCCACCAGGGAGGCCGGTTAGGAACATAATTCTTAGATATATTTTACTGACACAATTAGACTTTGCATATCTTTTTGTCTGTGTCTTGCTAATGACAGTCGCGAAACATCACCACACTCTTCTTCAGGTTCCTCTATGATAGGAATGGTCTGGCAAGACCATGCTCCACAGGTTTCTAAAGTGATGTTTAACGTTTCCCTACCCTCTTTGGCCCTGCTTTTGGGTAGTTCGCCTTAGCCTGTGAAGGGTTGGTCTGAGATGACTTGGGTTGAGAGGGTCTGTGCTGAGAAAGTTTAGGTTCAGGGGACTGGGGCTGGCGTGGGTACTGCTGGGTAGATTTAGATGAAGAGGGTTTAGCATGGGTGGGGGGGTGCTGAAAAGGTTTAGATGGAGGGAAGGGGGGCTGAGAAGGCTTAGATTGGGAGGCCTGGGACTGAGAAGGCTTAGGTTGGGGGGACTGGCGCCGGCATGACTTTGGCTGAGTGGGTTTTGATGGAAAACACTTAGTTCGGGAGGTCTGGCCCTGAGGGGGTTTTGTTGGAGTGGGTTGAGGTTGGGAGGATTTATGCTGGGGGTGCTTGACCTGGGATGGCTTAGGCTGATCAGATTTGAACTGAAACCTGTGTACAAATGTGCTGTTGGCCGGTGAAAAGAATTGAGGATGAGACTGTTTAACATGGTATGGTGTTCTCATAAGGTTTCCAGTTGGTCCTGCTGGCTGGGAACCTTGGAGCTGGGAGTGTCCCAACTGAGAGACCGCTGCCCCAGACCAACGAGGAGCTCCCATTGTGGGTGGTCTCTTGAGCGAAGCCTGCTCGTGCTGAGTGGCGGGTCTTAGTGGTCTCACAGATGTTTTTGTCAGGTGACATCCCCAAGCAGGTTGGGAGATTTTCATGACTCTTTCACCTGAATAAAATCTCTGAGGTTGGAAATATTGAATCCCAAAACATTTACCTTGATTATGGGCCCTTGGATTCTGAAAGGGCAAAGGACGGGACCGCTTAGACCCCTGTCCTGACCAAAAGTGGGAGCCTGCAACCCTGGGGGCTCTCCAGGAAACACGGTTAAGGTTACCTCCAGTTACAGATGGTGCAGGACTGGAGTTTCCCAGATGAGGCATAAGTACTTGGATCAAGTGAAAATTTTGAACCCCAGGCTCTTTCATAGGCACCTCAACTGAGCTTTCAGATGGACTTTTTGGCTGATCATGTCTTTGTTCTTCCTCATCTTTAGCTTTTGCAGCCATGTTTTCACTAAGGACAAATGGGATTTCTTCATTCTTCTCAAAGTCTTGGTCTACCTGAATCCCCAAATCCCAGGCCAGCGAGGCCATGTCCTCCAGGGACACATATCTGAGTGACGAGGACATCACTTCCTGGAGGGTAGCTTGCAAGCACTCCATGTTCTTCCCTGTCTCCCCAGCCCCCTCCTCCTCCCAAAACAGTAGCTGTGCTGCCTTCAGCTTCAAGATTCTCTGGAAAATCTCAGCCTCTTCACTCTCCCTAGCCTGAGAACTGAGGACAAAGTAACATCTTTCAATGGCCTCTTCTCCTAGAAACATTAGCAGGTCCCATTCCTTCTGACCTAAGCAGTCAGTGAAAAAAAACACAGCTGAGGAAACTTCCATCAAGAAGCCAAACTGTGTCCAAAAACTTTGCAGATCTCCACGAAGGCTGGTCACAGCAACAGGCTTTTGAAAAATGCTAGGGTTTGCCTTTAGATGGTCGCGGTCAGGGAAACACCATGCTATCTCAACCAGGCCATCAGAGATTTGCCGAGGAAGCGCCAGAGCTGGCAAATCCTGGAGAAAGATTTTACGTGATTTCTGTCCAGCAGGGCTAAGCAGCCTATTGAGGATTTTGGATTTGGAAAAGCTACAGCAGCCTAGACGCACGAAAGAGATAACAGGCATCTTTGTGCACATCAGAAGCTTCTCTGTATCCCCTGCCGGCTCCCCAGAAGCCTTTGCAGACTTCTCCTTCACAATGTCTCTCATGGCTCCCAGCATTAAAATGATTTTGTTGTTTTCTGCATCTGGCAGCAGCAGGGGAAGAGCAAACTGGCATTGATGCATGTTTGACATGACTTCACGTTGCAAAGAACTGTCTGAACACAGCATAGCGGCACAAAGGACATCAAGGGGGTTAATGGTTTGCGTATCTCTGATTTCCAAATTCTCCACTCCAGTCAGCAAGTCCCCCTGGCTGTCCTCATCCAGAGCCCTGTGGGTGAGTATTGAATCTCTGGCCGTCACATCCAGCGCTTGAACTTTCATCAGGAAATTCCAAACTAAGTCTCCTGGAGTCTTAGGTATCCACGTCTCTACTCGCTCTAAGAAGAATTGTTTCACAACATCCGGCAGAAGCTTTCTGCTCCTGTCCATGTTCAAACATGACAGGACTTCTCTAAACACCTTTTTTCTTTCTGTAGGAAAGATAATACTCAGTAAATGACATGCTTAGAGTCTAAATGGCTTTTAAAATTAAATAAGTAATTGATGTTTTCATTGCAAAAAAGACGAAACAGGGGCCTCCCTGGTGGCGCAGGGGGTTGAGACGCAACCTACGAGGCTGTCGGCAGCCACTGCAGCAAGAGTTCAGTTCCCCGGCCAGGGAGCTACCCACATGGCGTAGCAGACCTCTCCTGACTCACCCACTGCTTCCCTCAGTGGTGTTTTTCAGTCGATATGCCTGTTCTGCTCCCCACTCTGTCTCTGGTGAATCCTCTCACTCTCCCGCACCTCTGGCCTGTACCCCAGTTCTTGTATGCATAAATAAATAAATTTCAAAAAAAAGATGAAACAATATAAATGCAGTGAAAGTCCACGTTCGCCTCTCTGACAATTCTACTTTCCTTTTGAGAGAGAGGTCAATATGGTGTGGTACATTTGTTTCCTTTTTCTTGCTTGTAAATAAGTATGCATGGGCCTCTCCGGTGGTGCAGCAGGTGGAGTGCCGCACTGTGAAGCTGTCTGCAGCCTCTGCAGCACGGGTTCTATTCCCCACTGGCCAGGGAGAAACCCACATAGTATGACAAACCTCTCCTGCCTCGCCTACTGCTCCCCTCAGCAGTGTCTTCGGTCCGTCTGCCTGTTCTGCTCCCTGCTCTCTCTGGTGAGTTCTCTCACCCTCCCATGCCTCTGACCTGTACCCCAGTTCTTGTATAAATAGACAAAAAAATCTTTAATAAATAAATAAGTATGCATGGAGAGAGAGAGAGAGAGAGAAAGAGAGAGAGAGAGAGAGAGAAAGAGAGAGAGAAATATCTAACTTGGTGTAATGGATGCTATTTTAGTTTTTACATAAATGTTATTATAATAAGCAAATGATTCTTCTGCTGCTTTTCACTAAATGGTATTCCTTGCAAATTCTTTCATTTCATTATATATAGGGATCAACTGAACTCATTTTAGCTAATCCTAATCATGCAGCATCTCATAAATGGACCATTATTTATTTATTTAACCCTTGTCTACTGATGATCACTTAGATTCATTTTTTTGCTAGTGTTTATATGCAGCAATGTAAAACCTTGTCAATGCTTCATTGTACGGATACATGAGAAATTTTCTAGGTTGACCCTATCTTATTACATAAATGTATCTCTTGCTAAAGTTTGGAGAAATAGATTTTATTTCCATCAAAGTTTTTCAGAATTTACATGTACCTAGTTTCTCCTGATCTCGTATTTTCTCATACATCTTTGAGTCATTTCTTGGCAATACAAAGATAGGGTACACTATGGGGAAAATATTAGAGAGCATTTTCTGCTTTTGATGATTGACAAGCTAGCATAAGCTTAGCTTAGCTTATAAAATAGTCCAGAAGAAATAATAGAAGTGAGAGAAAAGTGTAAATTTCAGGACTTAACAAAAGTAACTCTTAGAAGAAAGAAAGGCAATGGTAAACATATGGGCTCTTACCATTGGCTGAACCCAACCATAATCTGGAAGGGAAGTGAGTCAGTTGATGTAGTCTATATACAAGCTGACTTTATATCATTTAGAACACACAAGACAATGCTTAAGTAAGTCTTCCTGAGGCTTTAATTTGACATTGTTTTTGTTATGAAATATAGCATGATAAAAGACCCATCTCCTCTGAGTAAGATGCATGTGGATTTTTTCTTTCCAATTCCCAGCTGTACAGACTAACATTACAGAGGAAAGAGACTAAAGGATAACCAAATATAATTCCAGTCAACTAGAATTAATTGGCAAATATTCAAATTAATTGTAGGTCATAACTGCATCATTATTGAGACTTTTCTTGATCTGTTTTGCTAAAGATGTCAGATTTATTGCAAAAATAATCCCAATTCATGGCTTTCCAGTATCCATATCTTTTGCAACATTGCTTTGGCTGAGCAAGAGGTGTCTTGTTTTTCCCTAATCCTTGAATCTCTGTTGGCTTTGTGACATGCTATGGCCAACCAGATATGGCAGAAGTGTTGCTGGGATGGGTTAAATTGTGCCCTATCTCTGCAAAAGATATATTAAACATCCCAGTACCTCACAATGTGGCCTATTTGTAAATAAATTCTTATCAGAGCTTATCAAGTTAAAAATGAGATCATTACTCCAATATGATTGATATCCTTATTAAAAGAGGAAATTTGAAAACAAACATGCACAGAGGAAGAATGATTGGAAGGGATGGAGCTGCTTTCTGCTGATGTTTAGTGTCCTTCCACATTCCCTATCCCCATTGTGTCATGGCAACCTAAAAATAAGTTACTACATAACTATCTTCTACGCACATTACTTCATACCTTCTATACTTGTCTCTTCCTCCTCCAGTAATATGCTGGCTTCTGACTCCTCATAATGTTGTTCTTCATCAGAATACCCTTTGGTTTCTGAATATGCAGAGTCCTCTTCACCATAATAGACAATGTTCTCTGGATTATCATAATTCTCTTCATCCACAGTGGTTTCTGCATCTTTAGAGTATTCAATAGATTCTAGGTAGTCCTCTTGTCCTGAGTATAAAGAATCATCTGGCTCTTCATATCTCTGTCCGTCCTGTAAATACTCAATAGTTGCTGGAAATTCGTATTCAACATTCTCAACCAAATAGGGCATTGTGATTTTTGGTGCGTTATATTCTTTCTCATTTACTCTTGAGGACAAAGCAGTTTCTCTATAACTAATTTTATTGTCCTTGAAGTCTCCAAAATCTAAGTATTTATCTTTTAAGGCCACTGTGATCTCAGGATTCTCAGACTGTTTCTCTCCAGGAAAAAAAACATCTTCCAAATATTTGCTTACACCCATGGACTGAAGCGGTGGTTCTATATTCTCCTGTTTTAAAAATTCTGGAAAAAAAAAAGTAAAAATTCTGAAATGAACAAGCACATTTTGGGGTTATTTTGTTTTGATTGTCCAAATTAACAATAGGAAATTTTATTACAATGTGAATTTCTAAGATCACAAAGCAACATTTCTCTCATTTTACTGGAGGATAGAAGTAGGTACCCCCTCCTACATAAATGACAGCAAATCAAATGACAGCAACTCAACTGTCAGAACTTTTTTTCTCCCCCTGAAAAAAAAAAAAATAGGTCATATTCCTGCTGTTCCAAATCAGTGGGACAGAAAATGTGAATTCTATGAATAATACCTATTTGAGGATTTACTACAATGCCAAACCAGCCCAAATCCTAGGTTCATTGCTAATGAAGTCTGATCCTAGTAATTTCTAATCAGAAAGCAAATAACTCTAATTTGGAATAGAAATAGTAAGACGTATTTCTCTAAGTAATATGGGTCTTGCCCTACATTAGGAAACATTGCAGTAACAGTTACCTTTTTATCTGAGTCTCTGCCTCTCTAATATATCTTAAAATTGTCATCAATATTGTTAGTTTCCTTAAAAAGGAATTACACATACCGATAGTGTAATAAACTACAGTATTGCTTAATAATTCATTTTGGGACAATTGCTTTCTCTACTGCCACTACTTATTTTTAAACATTGAAAAAAATCAGCATTTGATTTGTTCCAGAAAACTGGAGTCTGTTGGCATTCTTATTGCAGGGGAAACTTAATTACCGAAAGTAACCAATCTATGTGTATCAAATGTTATTTTTCCTGTATTTTCAAAATGGTTATCCTAATTACAATGCAGTTATTGGTCTTGGGTTCTTAAAAACCCTGTTTTCACTTGATAAAGATCTCGGGGTTGTGTCATCGTTAACAGTAATCTACAATGATGATTGACTAATTCAGTATAATGCCAGTATAATGAGCATATTTTTTTTTTAAAGATTTATTTTATTTATTTATACAAGTACTGGGTACAGTCAGAAGCGGGGAGGGTGAGAGAATTCACCAGAGCCAGAGCGGGGAACAGAACAGGCAGACTGATGAAGTACACTGCTGAGAGGAGCAACGGGCGGCAGGAGAGGTCTGCACGCCATGTGGGACCCTCGCCAGTGGCCAGGGATCAAACCGGTGCTGCAGAGGCTGCTGGCAGCTTCGCAGCCCAGTGCTCAACCACTGCAACACCAAGGGAGGCCCTAATGGCAGATATTACTGGCACTAAAACAACTGCAAGTTTTTGATACACGGTGAACAAGGAATTATCAACCCCTGAAATCAAATAAGATACCTTTTTAAATCCTGGACACATTCTCCCTTTAACATGGTTAAGTGAAAATTGTCTCTGGGAAAAATATAAGTGAAGACAAAAGGCTGTAATTTCCTTTTTGCAGGAAATCTGCCCCCTCCCTCTTACCCCAAGAAAGTATAGAAATCCTTCTTACCGTGCTTTAAATCCTGAAAGGAAACTGACGCTGGAAAAGTACTAAACAAACACTTGAGAAAATGCTGACAGCTTACTTCTCCCTTTTTCTGCATCAAAATTAACAACTTTCTACTTTTCTTCAGAGGATCTTGAATGTTCTCCAGAGACTCATACTCTTCGTCAGAAATCAGCTTCCGAGAAGTTAATGTATCTAAGATTGAATCAGGATCTTGTTGGAGGATTTCAACTAATTTTTTTCTTTCTCTGTCTATGAGCTCTGAGAGAACACTCTGGGTAGCCATTCTTCCTGTTCTCTCCCAGCCAGGAAGTGGGTGACAAAATCAGCACAATCGTTGTATAAATACAAGTTATTTTTTCAGGCAACGGGTAATTGTAGTCAGCAAAGTTGAACATGGCAGTGATGCCTAATGTTGGAGAGGACTGATACAAACAAGGCTAGGGAGTAAGAAACCCTGCCACTGGCCTCCCTCCTCCCTACCCCTGCTCCCATTTGATTATTAACTTGTTTAGTTGAACTTCCAAGACTTATGATGACTAAGTCCCAGGGTCAACTCCTCTGACATATCTCTTACATTTCAACTGCACTAGGTATTGCCTGCTCTGAGCTCTACCTGTGAAAACAAAAGTGTTATTATCTGTTGTTGGAGAGAAGTCTTGTAACAGGGTGGTCCCCAGGAAAGGGGGAGGTTCCCTGCCCCACCCAAGAGAGGGTGGAGCTGAGCAGGAAGAGGAGAAGCTGCAGAAGAGACTGAGGAAGGAAGCAAGATGGAGCCAGGAGACCTGGAGGGGGCGCGTGGAGCCTAGAGACACGTGAAGAAACTGCGCTTGTCTTTTGGTCGTGGACTGGGTGACACAGATGTGGGTGAGACCCGTGGGAGGTGACCATGGCAGCTTTTATCTTGGTGTTGATTTTGCTCTTTTCCTTCCGGGCTTGTCTGGTAGTTTCTGACCCTTTTCTGTGGGTCCCCACTGGAAGATTCTTTAGACTTGTGGCAGGCTTTGGGGCCTTGCTCTGGGCCGATCCCATATGGATGGACTTTTACCCACGAGGGGATGGGTAACTTTGGGTGCTTCATTTAGAAACTAGACTCTTTGCCTTACCTGTATTGTTTCCTAGTTTTATTAAAGTTCCTTCCCATTAAAGTCTCCTATGTTTTGTGTTGATGCGGCGGATGGCAGAACCCATTTAGAATAGGCAGGTTTGTGGGGTTTGGGCTGCCCCTCTCCCTGTCCTATAAAGGTCTGACAATACGCAGCAATACATATTGATAGACAGATGAAAATAAAAATTCATACCCTTCATTCAGTAATTCCACTTTCAGAAATTATCTTAAGGAAACAATCAGACAAAGGCCCAAAGAATCTGCATCACCACATTCTCTAGCAACATCCTGCCCCAGGAAATTCAGGGCGGGGAAAGATGGAAAGAAAAGTATTTCTTTGAAGTGGGGTATTTAGCAGTGAACTTTAAACTTAGATCAGTTTAAATTCAGTTTCTTGGTAATAAAAATTTGCATCACACAGGCTTCGAATGCAGCTGGAGCTGGGTGAAGGGTGACCAGGAGATACAGATTTAAAAATACATCTGTCACATCAAATCCAGTGGCACGGGACTAAAAACTTTGTTTGCAGTAAAAGAAATTACTGTGATTTTTTTTAAAAGAGAAAAGTAAGCAGTAATTTTTATCTCATTTATTGCAGGGGGAAAAGCAGGTCTAGTGTCAAGTCCTAGTGGTCAAGAAAGTTGAGCTGTGCGTGAACCATGGATGTAGGATTTATGTAGTCCCACTTCTGGTAGGAGACCAAATGTCATAGGATGGATGCCCATGGCAATAGCATAGATGATCTGTTTCAGAAGTTCATCTATTCCTGACCTAAATGTGGCATTTGAATAGAAACTTGGAGGTTCTAAAATGACTTTACGGGTGAAGGACTGGTTCATTTGATCAAGGCCAAAGTGGTGTGATTCAAATATACCAAAGAACCACTTCACATTAGGCAGAATAGCAAAAATATTTCATTTCCTCTGATATCTAAATTCTGGAGTGTCTGTGGTAAAAGAGACTCACATAATAGCTGTCACACTGCTAGGATCCTCTGTGAGTGTCACCTGTCCTACCCATTTCTACACTCATCTCATTTTTCATAATATCTGGGAGAGGCAGAACAAAGACACTCCTTTAGCCCCCAAAGTGACTATGACCTCATCATCACAACCTGTGAATATGTAAGTTAAAGTTGCAGATGGAATTAAGTATGCAGATCAGCCAATATTGGTAGGAGAGGGACCTTCCTGGTGGCACAAGGGGTTAAGTCTCAGCACTATGAAGCTATTGGCAGCCACTGCAGCATGAGTATGACCCCAGGCCAGGAAACTGACCCACATGGTTCAGTTGATTGAAACTTTATACTAGTTGATTAAATTTATTTTGTCACCAAGTTTATGGTAACTTGTTGGAACAACAGGAAACGAAAATAGCATCTAATCAGGTAGCTCCTGAATTGCAGTTTGGTCCCAGCACACAAGTTCCCTCGGATGCGCCTCCCAACCCCCATATTTAACCACTTCAGCTAGGGCAGGAATACTGTCCTGTTAATGTTTCTACTACCAGTCCCTAGAAAAGGTCAAATATTTTTAGGCACTAATCAACTGTTAACCTGTCAAAATTAAACCTTTGATTCCTGGAGTTCGTCTGTTCTGCTATTAGTTAGTTACTAATATTTCAAGTGACAGGACAAGAATTCTCTATTTGCTTTAGAAAGCACATTATATCGTCATTTATGATCTTTCTTCTTTCCCCCACCCCAACCCCTTAACTTTTAAATGTGTGAATTTTAAAAATAAGTTTTGCGGGGCCTCCCTGGTGGCGCAAAGGGTTAAGATGCAACCTATAAAGTTGTCTGCAGCCTCTGCAGCACGAGCTCGATCCTCGATCCCGGCCAGGGAGGAACCCACATGGCTCAGCAGACCTCTCCTGACTCACCTGCTGCTCCCCTCAGCAGTGTACTTCGGTCCATCTGCCTGTTCTGCTCCCCACTCTGTCTCTGGTGGATCCTCCCACCCCCCACGCCTCTGGCCTGTACCCCAGCTCTTGCATGCATAACTAAATCTTTAAAAAAAATTAGTTTTGTGTTTGCGGGTCTGGTTGGGTCAGGTCACAATTGGATTAGTGGTTACAAAGAGGTCTGGGAACCATCAATTTCAAACCCATTTAATGTTTTAAGTACAGACTTTCTGGCTCTACCCAAAGCTGCCAAATCAGACAGCCTCACGTTAGAGGCAGGGAACAAAATGAAAATGTTCTGCTGTGATACCGCAGATACAGCGAAATGTGGGATCAAGTCATTTTCCTCTAAATGACCACAGTGAAAAAAAAAATCATTTGCCTTTGTGTTTAAATTCTGAACCCGCCCTACAAAGGCAGGTCGGGGCCTCCGAACTCTGGGCGAACTCTCAGTTGAGAATCAGCGTCGGCCAAAAGCGTCCAGACCTACTGGGGGGGCACCGGGTTCCCCGGGATCAGGATCCGAGCCCACCCCGCCCACTGCCCCCCCACCACGCCCCGGCGGGAGCGGGAGCCCCGGAGCGGGCAGGCTCGCACGCCAGGTTCTTCTAGGCTCGGGGACAGAAAGCTATTCTGCGGCCACAGCTCTGATTAGACAACGAGAAGTTTGGGGAGCTTCGGCCCGATGACTCTGAGCCGAGGCCGACCCCCCCCGCAGGGACACGCCCATCCGGGCCACGCAAAGCTGAACGCGCCCCGCCGGCAGCGCCCTGGAACCTGCTATTGGTCCCTCCTGTCACCTTTCCTCCTCTCAACCCACCCATGTGGGGACACGGAAGGTTGAAAACAGTGCACCAGGCCCCGGAACTATTTCACTGGGCGGAAACTAGTGAGCACGATATAGCGGAAGTACATCCTCTTCCGTCCTCTTTGGTCCCGGCCGCAGAAGCAAGATGGTGAGTGTTTTCCGCGGGCTTTAAGTATCTTCTTCCATCCTCTTCTTCTGTAGCGTGCTCCTTTCTATTCGTGGCGGCCTGAGACGGTTCCTGGTAAGGGGAGCGCACGGGCAGGACAAGGACATGCGATGGCTCTTCAGAGCCAAAAGACGGCTCTTAGTTATCTGGGATGTCATATGTGCAGTCGTGGAGCTGGAGCTGCCGCTCTAGGCCCCTTTCTTCGATCTAGTTTTTATTTAAAGGAACCGGCACATCCCTGCTCTCGGCTGGGAACTGAGGGGCACGGTGTGGTTTGGGAGTGTTTGGTTCTCTAAGTAGAGGAATTGGTTGGTGGTAGTAGCTGGTAGGGAGCCCTTAGGTCTGGGGTATATAGCCGAGCTATACTGCTTAGTCCGTTTTCGCCTTATGCTTTTATTTTATTTTTATAGTAATTGGGTAGCAGGTTCAAAACAGCAACTCTGGCGGAAAGCTTTAGAGAATGTGAAAAGTCGGTAGTGGTCGGTGACAAAGCATTTAAGAATAAATGGAATCTAACTGCATAGATTCAGCTTTTTCAGTACTGTTCTTCTGGAAAAGCCAGAAAATACATAGGGGGTGAGCGACTCAATTACCTGCCTCTGATTTACAGACGAAAGGAACGTCATCTTTCGGAAAGCGTCGCAATAAGACGCACACCTTGTGCCGCCGCTGTGGCTCTAAGGCCTACCACCTTCAGAAGTCGACCTGCGGCAAGTGTGGCTACCCTGCCAAGCGGAAGAGAAAGTGTAAGTTGAGTGTTTCTCAGGCCATAGGAGTTGGAGTGGGTCTTGTGGACATTGTACCAAAGTGTGGCATGTCTAGGGACACTGTGGGGTGCTTAACATGCAGTTGTGCATCTGTATGCTAGAACATGACCTGTTTGTGTTTTAGATAACTGGAGTGCCAAGGCTAAAAGGCGAAATACCACCGGGACTGGTCGAATGAGGCACCTAAAAATAGTATACCGCAGATTCAGGTACAGTTGATGTTGCAATTATAATGAGTTCTATGAGCTGGAATTGAATAAAAGCTCCCATTCTTTACTCGTTTAAAATAAGAATACTACTCTGATTAGTGGGGAAGAGATGTTGGAAATATTTTTTCTGCTGCTGTAGTAGCCACCGATCAAGTTAGTGCTGTGCTTTCAGTAAATTGTGAGCTGTGATTTTGTAGACAATGTTGAGCTAGAAGCTCTCCCACCGGTGACGTGTGATACTTAGTAATAGCATTTCATTTCAATACCAAAATTTGTTAAGACAGTAAGTCTTGAATGAGATCTGAACTCAAGCTTTTGATTTTGTGGTTCTGGGCAAGTCTGCTATAGAAAACTATGGTTATTGCTGTTGGATTTACCTGGAAACATACTTAGTTATTTAAGTCAGCCTTCAGAGTGTATTAGAAGTGCAGAATTTCTACCCAGGAAAACGCAGAGAAATTGCATTTTAAGTGCTTTTAAGGGGTTAGCCTTCTAAGGTCACAGCTGAAGAGACTGGGAGGGTAGGGTGATTGTCCTCTGCAGTGTGGGATGTTTAGCAGATTCCAGGGTTCCTAATTTTAAAAGATACAGCATTTTGGGGCTTTGTAAACACACAAGTTTTTGTGTTCATGAGACTGATGATCTTTGCACAGTAATAGTACGGATTTACTGTTGAGTGGCCTCTAATGGGATGTAAGAGTTACTGACATGAATTGAAGCCAGACATTACAACCTTTTGTACCTCACTTCACAAATCTTTAATAAAGGGGACAACAATACATATCCCTTCCAATAGGTGTGAATTAAAATCAGTTAAAATGCAACTCTTAGCTAAGCAGTTTAGAGCATTCCTACCTTTAAATATACTCATTCGTTAGCGCATCAGTTGCTAGTTAATATGGTCCATAAGTGGATGTCTTTAAAGTAGAAGGAAGTAAAGAAAATGGTAGCAGCTTATCAGTGATGTTATAAAAATAAATGTCTGAACATATGAATTCTATATTGATTTCAGCATTTAACTGAGATAAGCTCATTAAAATCTGTTTTAAAGAGAATTAAGATGTATCTAGGCATTACTGAAGTAATGATTTTTGTTTTTAATGTGGTACAGGCATGGATTCCGTGAAGGAACAACACCTAAACCCAAGAGGGCCACTGCTGCAGCTTCCAGTTCATCTTAAGGATTTCAGCAGTCACGCAATAAATTTCTGGTTTTAAAAAATGTCTGAGGTGCTAAGGTATTTTTATTAGGCTGTAATGTCAGTGATTTATACTACAGGTTTGGGAATGTATCAACAACTGCATTTATCACACTTACTTGTTAAGTGACTGGGGACACTACCTTTTGCCACTGGTTAGTGGTACCGCTTTTAGGCTACCTCTAGCAGATGATACTGGAAGGTGATATAAAGAATGTAATGGCTAAATATGTGCTCCCATGGCACATATAGTTGAATTGTTACAGTAAATGAAAGTATAACTTCTATGATTTGCCTCTTTTTTAAAGATACTTATTTATGCATATAAGAACTGGGGTATGGGCCAGAGGTGCTGGGGGTTGTGAAGATTCACTAGCGACAGAATGAGGAGCAGAACCGGAATCTACTGAAATACACTGCTGAGGGGAGCAGTGGGTGAGGCAGGAGAGATCTGTGGGCTAGCTCCCAACCCAGATGGAACTCATGCTGTGTAGTGACGGTACACAAACTTAACCCTTAGGCATCCAGAGAGGCCCCAGTTTGCCTAGCCTTAATCTCAAAGTCAAATGACAGGAATGGTTGTTCCATATGATAAGAGTTTGGGGAACCAATGAGAATTTTTTGAAAAAACAACCTGCCGTGAGTTGACAAAATAGTAATGGGAAGGAGTTTGCAGAGCCTTATGCAAATGCAGTGAATTGAGTAGTGAGTAAAAGAGAAAGGCAAGTGTAAACTTGCTGACAAAGCAAGGTAAAAGTTTTCCCAGTAGAAATTTAACTCAACCGGGTGGTCATTTTCCAGTGTTCTAAAAATCTGGAATTTGTTGTGCTCCCCCCATTTCAGGTAGTTTAAACTAAGCGGAGGCCAACTTTGTTGGGTTGCTGAATGAGGACAGGAGAGATTAAATAGCACCTAATTGGAGTAGCAACTATATAGTCAAGTGGCTGTGCTAAGTTGTAGTCTCCTATTGAGAGTAATATCTCTATGACCTGGCCCAGTGGTATTCATCATCTTACCCTTCCTGGCACCCTAGTATGCTTTAGCCCAAGGTAATTCCTGAGTGCCTCCTGTTTTCCCTAGTGCCTGGTCTTTCCGATTTCAACTTACATTGAAAGACCCTGCTGCTCTAAATCTCTATTGGACTTACTCTGTTTTTGAGAGGGATACATAGTTAAAGAAGTTGGGTCCTAGGGGCCCGATTGTCAAGTGTGATTTTTCTAACTTAAGTGCCTATGTTCACTGAAGAACAGGAGGGCTAATAGTAACTTCCGTGTGTGTGTGTGTGTGTGTGTGCATATGCGTGCGCACGCACGCACTGTCAGTCATTAAGTGAAGGTGCTTTAGCAGTGAACACGTTTCGCTTCGACTATGAAATTGCTTTTGACTTACAATAATGATTTTAATAGTACTTGAAAGAATTGAAGTAATCTGACTTGGTCTTAAGTTCTCTCTGAAATCTTCGAAAGTAGTTAAATGTTGATTTCTGAGTGTAGGAGTGGTCCATAAAGGTAGCTAATGCCCAATATTGAATAAACAATAGATGTTTGAGGTAAGTGGGCAATGGAAACTTGCGGAATTGCTGGCTGCTTGCTCAGAGAAAGCAGATGGTACAAAGGAGTATGGTGGGAGGTGGGCAGTGATGGATTAAGAAAGGTCAGTGTTTGACCTGTTGGGGGGCAGCTCATTCTGCGTGCTTGTATCTGTGCAAATATCCTCTCATCCCCCTTTTTAATAACCTGCCCTTTTGTATATTAAAGAAACAGACATCTGTTTAAGATACTGTGATTTTTGTCAAGTTGGGAGAAAGGGGAAGTGGTGGCAGTGTAAAATGCAGCAGTGATCAGATTATGAAAGGTACTGTGGTGAGTATCATGCTAAGGAGTTTGGACTTAAAGCCTGAAGGAGGTGTTCAGTTATTAGCAGTTTCAAGCACAAAGTAGCAATCATTATTGACAGTGTTACATGGAAGATGGTAAGGCCAATATGAGTCTTGAAGCTGGAAAATCAGGCAACAGGTTCTTAAGTATTCCATGTGAAAATGAGAAGGTGGTTGATGGTGATGGCCGTGGAACTGGTAAGAGAAAGGTTGCAGAACATCTTAAACTTGTATCAAATAGGGTAGCTTCCAAGTTCCCCTTTTTCATAAGCTGAGGATTCCATAAAATTACAGCATTGTGTCTGGTGCAGCAAACTCAAATATCAAAAGATGGAGGAGTTTTAGGTAACAAGTTTCTGACTACACTGAGGAGGTGGTGTGTTCATTGAGGAAATACGGAATGGTGGAAATGGGAATTTTAGAAGTTGATGTTTGTTGAGATAGCAGTGGGGCAGCAGTAGGAAGTGCCTAGGAAGAATTGAATATACCTGGTTGCAGTTCAAGTGGAAAGCCTAGGGTAGAGATCTCATTTGGAAGTAACGACCGTACACAGTCACAGCTCAGATGTACTGTGGGCTCAGTTCTAGACCATGACAGTAAGATGAGGCACACGTTTTTTAGTTTTTTTCCAGTGCATGTGAATACTTACAGTCCATTTTATGTACAATAGCATATTTAGAAAATAAAGTATATAGCTATGAAAAATGACATGAATATATGCTCTTGGAAAATTGTGCCAATGACTAGTCTTGGGCTTATCACAGCGTTGTCACACATTTACTTTGTACAAAGCACAATAAAGTACAGTAAAACAAAGTATGCCTGTAGTTGTGAAAGGCGAACTGATTTAAAGGATTAGAATGGTAAAGGTGATTTAAGTGGAGATATGAGATGATGGTGACATCGGAAGGAATACAAGCAATGGTAAGAACAGAATTTAGTTTCTTGACATGGACAGTGGTTGAAACCATTTGAAAATATGCAAAATCCAGAAGGGGAATATAGTTTTGAGAGACTCAAAGACAGATCTGGGGAGATGTCTAGAGATAAGAGGTTCATATACTGCCTATTACACAACCAGTAGTCAATCTGCCAGGCCATGTTAGAGAGGAAGCAAAAACCAAATTGGCGGCAGTTGAAGTAGTGCCAGTGGTTGCAGAATTGGCTCAGGAGCCAGGATAAAGTTGAGTCACACAAACCAATGATTATTTGACAGTTGTGAAGTACCAAGAATAAAGCCACTGCTGGGGGTTCTGGGCCATGAGGGCCAAGTGTTGCCTGTTATGTTTTTGTTTTGTTTTTCTAATTATACTTTTGAAAGATTACTTTGATAATATTTGGTGACTTTGTTTCTATAGTATATAGTATCACTTCATGGACCATGGTTTTTGGTGGCCTCTATGCCAGAAGCAGTTCTAGACCCGGGAGATAGAAACAATATTGACAAAAGGACTGCCCTGGCAGACTGCTGTGTGTTGGGGTGAAAGCACTGAACTAGTAAGCAATTTTAGGTAGTGAGTGTTGTAAAGAAAGACAACACATTAAGTGGTTAACAAGCAGCGCATGCGTGTATGTGACTTGAAGTACTACTTTTGTGTCCTTGAAACAGTCTCAAAATATTTTTAGATCACAAATCTAATTATGATTAGTAGTAAAAACTTTTAGTAAAATGTCCAGTCCTATATAATATGACTAAACCCAAGGTTTGACATAACCAACCATAATTCTTATTCATTCCTCCTTTGGGCTAGAAGCCAGCAATGGAGAAAGGGGCATGATCCCTCTGATCTCATCTTTCTTGTACATCTCTGGTTTGTGAACTGAAATTTCACTCCTTACTGGGGTTAAGAGGTAGATTAAGTAGCAGCAGGAAAAGTGAGTGAGAATCGGTAGGGTGGTTCTTGGTTGGGGGCTGGAGGGGAGTGCTCAGTCCCTGGATACATCAGAAGACTGAACTTGACTTTTCTCATGTGTCTTCTCTGGAGGTTCTTCGCTGAGTTTTGTCTCCAGTAGTTCCCATCCTGTGTTGTCTCTCCCGATAGGCCCACATCTATGACCTGAACAAATTCTAAAGCGCAGGGTGATCTCATGTCAGCAGCCCTCTCCTGACCCAACCCCCACCATCACCACCAAAAACAGTTACAAGAAATACATTTCTAAACTGATTGCTTTGAAATTCCCTTTACTGGGTTTAGAGCTAGAAGGTAGTTCCCCCCATTTTCCAGGAAGTTTGCACTGAAAACTTCCAAAGCAAGTTCATTGGTCTCCCTTGGATCTCCTATATCTCTGATCCCATATGGATTCTAAAAGTTGTGACCAGAGTTTTGGATCCATTCCCTATAAGTGTCTCTAGCTTAGGTCGTTCCTAGAGAAGAGTCCTGAGAATATTGATTTCTAGAGCTCTGCAAATAAACATCTAGCAAGTCTACGAAGTGTTCACTTTGCCCTCAAAGATAAATGATATGAACTGTTACGTGAAAAAAATAAGTCCTCTAGGGAAAAGGCTTTTTTCAAAAAGTAAGACAATAGTCCAGCTTCCTCAAATTAGGGCAGTTGGCTGAATAAGAAGCAAATGTATTGTCCTGATCCCATAAATTTTTCCTGTTCAAATACCTGTGTGGGTTCTGTTTATTCATTGAACCCCGATGTACTGACTTTTTTTTTAAGATTTATTTTTATTTGTTTATGCATACAAGAACTGGATTGTAGGCCAGAGGTATGGGAGTGAGAGGATTCACCAGAGAACAGATTGGGGAACAGCACAGGAGAGGTGTGCTGCTCCATGTGGGCTAGCTCCCTGTCAGGGATCCAACTCAACTCATGCTACAGAGGCTGGTGATAGCTTCATATCACTGAGACTTTTAACCCCTGCTCCACCAGGGAGGCCCACCAACTATTTTTAGTGAGTATATTTTTGTATGTTACTTCTGGCATTCATAATTTACCATGTTTTAGTCCAATAACTAGTGATTCCTCAGATACTGAACTCTTATCTTTGCTTACATAGAGGTTTTAGCACTGATCTAAACTCGAGACATTGAAAAAAGAAAAAAAAAAAAACAGCTATCTTTGAATCTGCCTGTTGTTCATCTACTCAAACTCTTAAGAGTTCTCTCTTTGGTATGAAATTTATTCAAAATATAAAACAAAAAAGCTATTGAGAATTTTATTCCTTAATATGTTCTCTCATGGGACTTTTTTCGGGGAGGTGATCAGGAAAGGGCAGATTGATCAAGATTTGAAAATGGGGCCTTCCTGGTGGCGCAAGGGGTTAAGACGCAGCCCATGAAGGTATTCACAGCCACTGCAGCATGAATTTGATCGCTGGCCAGGGAGCTACCCACATGGCGCAGCAGACCTCTCCTGACATGCCCACTGCTCCCCTCAGCAGTGTATTTCAGTCAATCTGCCTATT